AAGCGATTTCTACAGTCTATTTAATCACTAAAATTAGTTTTTCTTTCACTTTACTCAATTTCATAATTTATTATACTTAACCCCTTCAATAAAATTGAATTTAGTTTAACAATATAACAACTATAAAATCAAATATAACTTAACAATAAGAAACTTTTTACTTACCTTTCAAAATTGAGGAATTCAAACCTAATAATGTAGACCACTTATTTTCTAACAACATAGACGAACTTTCCTTTTTTTTTTTTTTTTTTCCCTCTTCTCCTTCTTTCTTTCTTTCTTTCTTTCTTTTTCTCCTCTTTCTTCTCTCTTTCTCGATTTTTCTTGCTTCTGCAGTCTCCACCCTTAGCTCTCTGCATGTATATATGATATGAAAATGGCAAAGGGTTAATTACTTGCCACATGTACTCCACAACCCATTTTTGCATAGGAAGTTCTTATTCTTCAATTTAATATAACATCTAGTCCTTTACTTCCAATAATATATAAGTAGATTCTTAAAATTAAGTTTTATCCATTTTAAACCTTTAACTATTTTTCATAATAAATTAAACCCCAATAAAATAATTTATTTCATTTAAATCCCTATTTGGTATTGATTTTGACCAATCGAATTTCGGACTTTGACTAAATAATTTTCTTGACTTTGACTATGAGTGAGTGAGTTATAACGGTGAAGGGAGTGCAAACACTAAAAAGGTTCAGTTCATGAGAATATTCTTCTTAACAAGTGTCTATGCAATCATGTAAAACAATTACATGATAAAAATTGGAAAGAGAATTAGACCACATATTGTGCTGATATGGAAAACTACTACTTGTCAACAGCATATGAATCTCAAAATGAAATATTTACGATCATGTTTCAACAAATTTGTTTTATGCTTCTAAGGAATTGCTCTGTGCTAAATTCACAATTTCTTGAAAAGGTGATATTCTTGCTAACTCTACTCTAATTATTGCCAAGTGGATATCAAGGAGGGGAGTTTCCAGAAACAATTGTATCACATTTGTGATATCGTTATTAAAGAGTTCAGCATTCTGACTACCATTCTCTCACATTAAGGTCCAGAACAATAGACATTGAACAGCCACCACGGAGATTCTAGAATTGTTAAGACTTCAAGAGCAATGGAAATTGTCGGAATTGCCGCAAGGCTAAGCATCAACCACTAGTTGATGTGTGGTGGTGTAAGTGTTATGCCCTAAATCCAATCAATTTTGGATATAAATACTTTTGATATATATTTAATGCAATTTAATGGCAAATTTATTATTTAATTAACAAACAATTAAATTAAATAATAGAGTCCGTAGATTCAAATCTTCGTAATTTGTTAATCACAAGGAGTTGTGATTGTGAGATACAAATTACATATGATTGAATCTTAAATCGTCCGTGATCGTAAGTAATAACGAGATACGGATATCGTTATTACGGATAGACCATAACGTGTGTTATTTCTTACTTGTGAAGTAAGTAGCTGATCTTACAAGCTAAAGTGTAGTTACACTTAAATGATCTATAACAAAACATTGGAGACCCGCCGAGAGATTCCACATGGATAACTATTTGAGTGTCAGTGATTAATCTTTAATGTTCGGTAGTGGGATTGGTCCTTTTGACTTGAGCTCGTCATAGCACCTTATATGAGGACGGTCATGTTTTGACGGTGTTTGATGTTGCTCTGCCAAGGGCCGTTAATACGGCACCGTTCGAGTATGTCTAGAATCATATGAAGGTTGTGAATGACCAATAGAGGATTCGTAACTTTTCGATAGTAAGAAATTATTATCTATGTTTCATTCAATTAAGTCGATAACGAAATCTTTGGTCAATGTGTACTCATAAGTAATAGTGGAGTGAAAGATATGATCGATAATCGAGATTAATACACTTCCATATCTCGTAATTGATTGGATCATATTGACGAAGGAATTATAGTTTCATGGTAAACGAACGAGTTTGGTTTTGTCATACCACGTGATATTTCCCGTCATATGTATTGCCCTGAGACATTGTTAGATGTCAATCTGGGACAGCGAGTGTGATTTGTGATAAATTAAAAAGGTGTTTTAATTTATCAATTTTGATTAGATCAAAATAATATTTCACGTCGTTAGATATCGTGATCGAAAACCTGATGAAGATTGTGATTTGTCAATTAATTAATTTAACAAGTATTGGATAAATTAATTAATTGGGTTGCTTATTTATAGGCCTGAATTGATTAATTGGATTAATTAATTCATATAATGAATTTAATTAAATAGGTTAATTAAATGTTGGACCGGATCAGGCCAAGCCCGTTCGGGCTTTTATAAATATGATTAGGGTTTGTAAAATTGTAGAGATTTTTCATTATTCTTGTTAGCATAAGAAAAATCATAATACTACAATCTTGTTCTCTATGTGGATCACCGTTGGAGATTGGACAATTGGACAGCTGTGAGAGACAGATCCAAGTTACTGAAACAAAGATAAGGCAAAGGAGTTTGCAGATCGTGAAAATATATCACTTTTTATCACAATTTTTATCTAAACACAAAGATGAATCCTGGCAGGAATCGAAATATGTTTTAATTTTCCGTTGTGCATGTTAAGTAGATTCCCTACAGGTGGAAGACTTGACATTGCATATAGAAGATTAACCTAGATGAATACCGAAAGTGATGAATATTTTGGGAAAAGAAGTGGGAAAATCCTATGACATCGCCAGGACAGTTCGACTATGTAAATCGGGGCAACCATGAGTGCGTACCCAACATTGATGCCTGTAATTAATCATTCGTCAAGCACCGTTAGTAGTACACCCAATGAAGAATGTTGTTGTCAGCCAAAAGAAAACTCCATTGAAGTGGGTATATCCTCCATATTGATAAATCCGAGAATCAATTTTTAAGTGAGACTGTTGGAAATATAATTTACAAACAAGAAGAATGAGAAGAAACGAATAACAAAAGGAACAACAAAAGAAATTGAATGAAGGCTCAAACACCCAATCGTTGTTATTAAACGATATTTGTCCCCTTTTGGATTGAATTTAATGCTTAAAGGGATTCTTGGCAAATGGTTTGTAAGATTTATCAAACCATGAAAAGGATTAATACTTAAGCACTTAATGAAATCCTCCAAAACTTAAAAACACAAAGAAAATTGAATATGATGGAGAGAGCTTTGATTATTTTGTGGAATGAAAATTTTGATCACAAGTATTTTTCCAATGTTTCTATTGAATATCAACCACCTATTTATAGATCTCAACAATACTCCACGAAGTGGTGCCAAAACAAGTGCCAAAAGACAACCAGATGTAATTGAAAAATAAAAACCAACCAATGGCTAGTTGGATGGCACTATGCAGTCACCTAGAACAAACCTATGCAACCGCATAGTTTGTCCAAAAGTAGGGCCTTTAGGCCCTACAATGCACCATGCGACCACACCCTTCTAAGGCATATGCAGTCGCATAGGTCAAGGTTTTGGCCTCAATTTCCATTTTCATTCCACATGCATTTTATTGATTTTGAACAACAATATTCAACAGAGACATGGTGTAAAGATGGGATGGCATTATGGTGACCAATCGAAGGTAGAGTTGTATTGGAGAGGTTGTTTCGCCGCTGATAAGTGGTGAAAAGTGGCAGCTGGTGGCAACGGCCAGCCATCGTAGTATTATGGAGGGTAAGTTATCACAGACAAATATGGGTGTGGATGGGTTAAATTAATGGGGACATAAAGATTATCCTTATCTAGTTTTTGTTAATATAAATTTATTAATATATTTAATATCATTAAATATTAATTGACAATTGATTTATGAAAAGATAAGTTTAAGATCTGATTTTTGAAAAGTATAGTCAAAATATAGGAATTTGCTTAATTTTTCCATTTAAAACTAATGGATAAATGTCAATCCGAAATCAGACAAATTTTACCGTCGATAATATTAAATTAAAAATAAAATAAGTTAAACCTAATTCATTATATTGCTCGGTCATGTCGTGTAAGTGACACAAAAAAGAGTTGAAATACTTGCGTATTAGAAACTACAACTTAACTCCACTATCTAAAACCAATTAGTACTGGAAAATTTGAGCCAAAAATCTGGTTTCTCGTAAAACAGTTGGCTTGAACGCTTTTGTATTGCCAACTTTACAAGTCCATCCAACAGATTTAAATGCCAAAGAACCAGCGACGAGCCCTCTGATGGGCGCAGTAAATATATTAAAACGAAAGCTCGTATCACTGCTAATTACACGACTCCAGAAGGAAGGCGTAACACGAGTTCAATGGCGGACGCAAACATTTTAAATTAGAGGGGTGCAACTAAATTTTCAAATCGAACAAGTTGATAATGAAAAAATATAATTTCTTTTTAGTCATGATCCGTACGGAGAATGATAAACTTTAAGATACAAATGCAAATATAGTATAACAATTATCAACTTTGTTCATTCTAGATCAAAAATTTACCTACTTGTCATGAGTTTGTAGGTAGTATTTATAAGGAAAAGAGACTTCCGAATTGGTTATGTAGTGTATTGGAGAAAAAAAAAATTGCAAATGTCGAAATATTTTAATGACATAAATTATGTCCGTGAGGACAAATATTTAATCAAGCAAAATGATCTAACCAAACTTGACTTCATTTTTTATGTGCATGACCAGTATTTTTTAGAATGATATTAAATTTTAACATAAAATAAAAAAGATAAATATTAAACATTTTTCACAGGTTTAAAATATTAGGCCCTTTTTGGGCTCCATTTTAATGTAAAATTGAAGGGAAATGGTTGTTTTTTTTTTTTTTTTTTTTTTAAGAATGTGGGGTTAAA